ATATCCCCTGGGATTATAATCACTAAGCTCTTTTAAGAGCGGTTCCTGTTACGCTCTCTTGGAGGAGAGGTTCACTCACTGGAAGCTGGATCCTGGTCTTGGGTCCAGGGTGGGTGGAGGACGGCGAGATTCCAGCCAATCTATAACGCTGGACGTGGGGACTGTGGTGCTAATGGTGTCTGGTGGAGTGCTTGGGGGTCTTAATGAACATTAGGAGCATCCGTCGGCGGAGGTACCCAACCGGGGTACAGGAAGCTCTGTTACAATGTTAAAACACCAATACAATGCAGGGACAGGAAAAGGAGATTAGAACAGTGTAAATTTTTTGGGATATATAAACTGGATACTCTGTAGATTATTTCAAAGAAAAAAAAACATTTTCTCAGATTTATAAGTTCTAGTCTTCCCTTCTATATTGGTGTAAACCAGATCAGTCCATGTAATTTAGTTTCGGATATGATTTTTTTCAGTAGGATCCATCTCCACTGGTTTCCTTGTTTTTTTGTCACTGATGCTTTTATTTTAGAATTTTTTTCTCTTCACTTTTTGTTTTTATAAAGAGCTTTATTAAAGGCGATTGGTGATGTCGCAAACCCGAAATTTTCGGTTCGCGAACCGACGAACCGGGAGAACCGCCATAGACTTCAATGGGCAGGCGAATTTTAAAACACACAGGGACTCTTTCTGGCCACAATAGTGATGGAAAAGTTGTTTCAAGGGGACTAACACCTGGACTGTGGCATGCGGGAGGGGGATCCATGGCAAAACTCCCATGGAAAATTACACAGTTGATGCAGAGTCTGGTCTTAATCCATAAAGGGCAGAAATCACCTAACATTCCTAAATCACAATGGATATGGATTGACACCTGGCATATGACATATTGACACCTTGACATATGGATTGACACCTGTCCTCAGAGACCCTGATACACACTGACACAGAGCAGAATAGAGACTGTTCCTCCTACATAGGGTCACTAGGCAGATATGGATTGAAACCTGTCCTCAGAGCCCCTGATACACACTGACACAGAGCAGAATAGAGACTGTTCCCCCTACATAGGGTCACTTGGCAGATATGGATTGACACCCGTCCTCAGAGATCATGATACACACTGACACAGAGCAGAATAGAGACTGTTCCTCCTACATAGGGTCAATTGGCAGATATGGATTGACACCTGTCCTCAGAGCCCCTGATACACACTGACACAGAGCAGAATAGAGACTGTTCCCCCTACATAGGGTCACTTGGCAGATATGGATTGACACCTGTCCTCAAAGCCCCTGATACACACTGACACAGATCAGAATAGAGACTGTTCCCCCTACATAGGGTCACTTGGCAGATATGGATTGACACCTGTCCTCAGAGACCATGATACACACTGACACAGAGCAGAATAGAGACTGTTCCCCTACATAGGGTCACTTGGCAGATATGGATTGACACCTGTCCTCAAAGCCCCTGATACACACTGACACAGAGCAGAATATGGACTGTTCCCCCTAGATAGGGTCACTTGGCAGATATGGATTGACACCTATCCTCAGAGACCATGATACACACTGACACAGAGCAGAATAGAGACTGTTTCCCCTACATAGGGTCACTTGGCAGATATGGATTGACACCTGTCCTCAGAGACCATGATACACACTGACACAGAGCAGAATAGAGACTGTTCCCCCTACATAGGGTCACTTGGCAGATATGGATTGATACCTGTCCTCAGAGCCACTGATACACACTGACACAGAGCAGAATAGGGACTGTTCCCCCTACATTGGGTCACTTGGCAGATATGGATTGACACCTGTCCTCAGAGACCATGATACACACTGACACAGAGCAGAATAAAGACTGTTCTTCCTACATAGGGTCACTTGGCAGATATGGATTGACACCTGTCCTCAGAGCCCCTGATACACACTGACACAGAGCAGAATAGAGACTGTTCCTCCTACATAGGGTCACTTGGCAGATATGGATTGACACCTGTCCTCAGAGACCATAGTACACACTGACACAGAGCAGAATAGAGACTGTTTCCCCTACATAGGGTCACTTGGCAGATATGGATTGACACCTGTCCTCAGAGACCATGATACACACTGACACAGAGCAGAATAGAGACTGTTCTCCTACATAGGGGTCACTTGGCAGATATGGATTGACACCTGTCTTCAGAGACCATGATACACACTGACACAGAGCAGAATAGAGACTGTTCCCCCTACATAGGGTCACTTGGCAGATATGGATTGACACTGTCCACAAGGACAAGCTGCAGACTTCCTGGCAAGGCCCATGCAAGGTGGTAGAGCAGGTTTGTGATACCACCTTTGTGATCGGTGCGGTCACAGCCACGGGAGGCAAGCGCATGCTCCATGTGAACAACCTCAGACACCTATCCTATGCCCCGGATAGACGAGCTCCTAGACAAAATGGCCAGAGGCCAGTACCTCACCACAATAGATCTGTGCAAGGGGTACTGGCAAATTCCATTAGCCGAGGACGCCATCCACAAGTCGGCATTTGTCACCTTGTTTGGCCTGTATCAGTTTAAGGTCATGCAATTCGGGATGAAGAATGCCACGGCTAACTTTCAGAGGATGGTATATCGGCTACTGGATAGGTTTCAGGAGTATGCCTGCGCCTACTTGTATGATATAGCCATTTTTAGCTGCTCCTGGCCCGAACACCTGACCCACATAGGAGTCGTACTAGACCAGATTAGGGAGTCCGGACTGACCCTAAAGCCCAGTAAGTGCCATATAGGAACGCGTAAAAACCTCCCCAAGATAGTAGTATGGGCCCCAGAGAGTGAACAGGCCTTCCAACAGCTCAAGACGGCGCTCATTAAATCACCTGTACTTTCTGCTCCTGATCCAACTAAACGCTTTCTCGTCCATACAGACGC